TATATATAATGTGAGCCAATGTTTTCTGTTTATAAGGCTCTTTTTGTGAGATTTCTAAATTATCTCTTTTGCTTCACATTTTCCTCTCCCTACCCCTCTCCCCACCCCAAAAAAGATTTCTTGGCAACTAGACCATTCCAAGATTTTTTGTTTCCCTCTCAATTTTCAGTAGCCATCAACTTTAAAGGGTTGGCAATCATTAATCAAACACTGTTGGCTGCTCACTGGCTGCAGGCACCTGGCTGAGAACTGGAGGGTGATGATAAATGAACAAGGTGTGTGGACTCACGGCCAGGCCTGGGGCAAGAGTACAAATGGAAGCCCACATACCATCTGTTTAAATCTGTTGAAGTTGTAAATCAAATGGACAAACTCTTAAGTGAAATATGTACTGCCTTCTGATATTGACAAATGATACCTTCACAAGAGCCTGGAAGGCCAGGTTCAAATGTACAATTCTCAGATTCCTTGGGGTTCTGAGCCAGAATGTTTAGGGTGAGGCAGGCCCAGCCCCTGTCCACCCCCTCCTCTTCCCATCTGGAGCTCTGTTCTACACTGCAGGGCATGCAGGTGGCAAGCCCAGCTCATGTGGCCAAGTTTTGTCACACCTCTGCACGCCCCTGGGCCACCTGTCAGGCCAAGGGTGTGCACACTGGTGGTGTGTCCCCTGTGGCCTCTAGCCCAGGTCTGAGTGGGTATGTTGTTGTTCTGAAGTTCACAGAGACATGGCAGAAACATGCTGGTAAATCAAGCAGCAGCGACTGTTTGGATGCACACTGCACCGGGTCTGAGAAGGGGTAGGTACAGCCAGTAGGTGTGAGTGATACTGGAGTCACAGAAGTAGTTGTCGAGGTCAGGCGGGTGGCAGAGGGGGAGACTTACCAAGTCTCATACAAGCATAGTGTGCTCATGTAACTGCAAAGAGTTTGGCAAAACAGGTGTCAGCTGTAAGTGTCCAGTGTGGGCGAGCAAGGCTAACAGGAGATAAGGGGGAGGCAGATGAGAGAGGAAACACCAGGCAAGATGCCTGCTGCTCTGAACAGCCTACACTGGAGGCTGTGGAAAACGGCCAGGTTTAACTCCTTGTTAGGTACTGTGGAGTCAGCTCCAACTCATAGTGAGTGACCCTGTCTGTGCACACAAAACAAAACTCGACCCTGTCCTGCCACCACCCTCACAATGGTTCTGTGCCTGGGCCCACTGTGGCAGCCACCGTGTCAATCCAGCTTCCTGAGGAGCTTCCTCTTGTTTTCACTGACCCTCTATTTTACCAAGTATGATGTCCTTCTCTAGCTGCTGGTCCCTTCTGACAGAATGTCCAAAATACTTCAGATGAAATCTCACCATCCTTGCTTCTAAGAACCATTCTGCCTGTCCTTCTAAGACAGATTTGCTGGTCCTTCCGGCAGTCCATGGCATATTCAATATTCTTTGCCAATACCATAATTCAAATGCATCAATTGTTTTCTGTTCTTCCTTACTCATTGTCCAAACTTCCTATCCAAACGACTGAAAATAACACAGCTTAGGTCAGGGACACTTTAGTCCTCAGAGGGACACCTTTGCACTTGAACATTTTAAAGAGGTCTTTTGCAGCAGGTTTGCCTAAAGCGACAGGTCCTTGATTTCCTGACTGTTGTTTCCATGAGTGTTGATTGTGAATCCAAGAAAAACGAAATCCTTGACAATGTCAATCATTTTTCAGTTTGTCATGATCATTGTTTATCGGTCCAGTGGTGAGGAAGTTTGTTTTCCTTACACTCAGTGGTAATTCATACTGAAGGCTATATTATTGGATCTTCATCAGCAACTGCTTCAAGTCCTCTATGCTTTCATCAAGCAAGGTTGTTCCATCTGCACAATGCAGGTTGTTAATGAGTCTTCTTCCAATTTTGCTGACACATTCTTCATATAGTCCAGCTTCTTGGATACTTCCTCAGCATAAAGATCGAGTTAAATACAGTGAAGAGATACAACCCAGACACACACCTTTCTTGATATAAAACTACACATATCTCTCTGTTCTGTTCAAATGACTGCCTCTTAGCCTATGTATAGGTTCCACAGGAGTACAATGAAATGTTCCGGAATTCACATTCACTGTTAACCATAGTCTGTCCTGATGTACAGTTGAAAGCCTTTGCATAGTCAACAAAACACAATATCTATCCGGTATACTCTGCTTTCAGCCAAGATCCATCTGACAGCAGCAATGAGACACCTTGTTTTTTCTACATCTTCTTCGGAATCAGGTTTGACTTTTTGGCTGCTCCTTGTGGATGTGCTGCTGCAACCGTTTTTTAAGGATCTTTAAAACATTTTATTTGCATATGATGTTAATGATATTGTCAGAGAATTCCCACATTCTGTCGGGTCACCTTTCTTTGGAATGGGCCTGGACATGGATCTCTTCCTCCAGTCAGTTGGCCATGTAGCTGTCTTCCAAATTTCTTGGCACAGACCAGTGGGTGCTTCCAGCCCTGCATTTATTGAAATACTTCATTGGTAACTCTCAGCTCCTGGACCCTTGTTTTTTGCTAATTTTCTCAGTGCAGCTATCTTTCAAGACCACTGGTACTTAATCTACCTCCTAAAATGGTTGGATATTGACCAATTCTTTTTGGTACAGTGACTGTGTATTCCTTCCATCTTCTTTTGATGCTTCCTTGTTGCCCATGTTGTTGTTAAGTGTCGCCAAGTCAGTTCTGACTCATAGCGACCCTGTGGTTTTTAAGGAGAGGCTAGAAGGTTTG